GTGTCGATGTTTTTAAATAAATACAAATACTTCTTGCAGACCCTGGCAGTCGAAAGCGAAAGGATTTTTCGGGCCATGAACTCACCAGCTTGTTGAATCTTCGATCATCGCGAACAGTTGGTCGTAAGGATTCTTAGGACTCACGATTACATTTGCAAATAAACGCGTGGACGTATAATCACAGGGAGACGTGATGGACAAATACGGGCAAGTAGAAAGACTCAAATCGGGCGAGACACTAACCAAAATTTAGCGAGTCTGAGAAAGAAACTTGAGAAAATCGAAGGTTCAATGATGCCCGCTTCCAGCTTACATTTTTAATAGAAAGTATCATAGATAATGATGAAAAGTGGAAAAGATAAGAATAAATGTCCATTTCACTTTATACTCCCATTAACTATTCAATTTAAGCTAAATCAATTATTCAGATGATAAGTATAAGCGTTGTAATTTAGGGTAGTATAACTTTCGGCTTATTTATTTATTATTATTTTTTATTTGCTAACCACTTACTGTTGCTGGTTACTGTTATTCTTATTTATTATTCACTAATGACTTATTGTTATTCTTGTGTAGCAATTATGCAATTGTTAGTGAATATGAAATAATAATATAAATAACAGTAAGTTGTTGGCAATGAATAAATAACAATAGAGTATGAAGATACACGCACGTGTAAGTACTCTATCTTATTAAATTTGAATTTTTAATTCGAGTGAGTCTTAATTGTCTCACGAAGTCTAACATTATATTATGTGTACAGTTTTATAGGTATTTAATGTAAATTAATGTTTTAAACATTCTTTAACTTTGATCTTAGGCTTTGGCTGTTCTCTCGATAAGAATACAGACAATCAGTTTTAATAAATAGTAATTTCAGTGATTTAATAAATAATTGTATAAAGCATTTATAATCTAGTAGAATCTGCATTATATTACAATGTGTAAAAAGGAACGAATGGTTACAATAGCTAAGATAATTAAATTCCTTACTTTATTTCTGAGAATATCAGTAATTACAATTGAGTCAGACTATGCTTAAAGTTCAATAAATTGAATTCTGTTTATTAAAATAGCGTTTATTTAACTACATTCAATCTTATTCAATTCATTAGAATTAATTATAATTATTCAGAGGAGATAGATACATAATTAATTCATAAAAGTTTACAGTTCAAATTTTCCATTACCAATTGTTTGCTCGACAAGGACGTCTAATTTATTGACGTAACAGAATGGAAATACGTTCGAGGCTTCGGATGCAATGACAATTATATTTGCAATTGTTATTCGTCTTTCACAAATAATGGTAATTTTGCATTGAACCGTCGGATTATGATAGATTTATGGATCTCGTATAAAAAATGATTCGGTTCAAACTGTGTCAATATTAACTGGTAGAAAAAAATATTTCTTTGTCTTGTTTGCAAACATACGCTCTGACTCATTGCGTGAATTGTGCATCGTGGATTATTCTCGTTGAAATCATTCACGTTACATTTCTTCAAATATTCATTTTGGCTTCTTACGTATTTCGTGAGCATTTAATGTTTTCTTATTGTATACCATGTAAAAAATACAAATTGAGCTTGCTTTGTCTTCGAAAAATTAAATAGAAATTTCTATCCATAGAATAGGGGAGAGATCTTTTCTTGTATCTCCTTCTGTTTACTAAATATGAATTTGAGCCACCTATCATATTTGGGGGGGGGGGGGGTAGGGGGAGGGCTCCCCTATGATACAGATAATTTCATTTTCGCTTCGACGAGCTGGTTTTCCTCTTTTCAACTCATTCGTTCGTAATTATTCGCGCAAACGTGATAGTGATTCTGTGCTCTATGTTTTTGAGTATCCAATTATCAATTATTCTTTATGAATGAAAAAGTTTTAAGGCTTTTGTGGAACATATAATTTGTTTTTTTTTTTATATAGTTTTGTATTCAGAAATATACCATCAATTTGACTTTATTGGGATTTCAAAACCATTGTGCGTCATTCGACGCACCAATAGCGCCCGGGGGCGCGTGTCCCCCCCTGCCCCCCCCCCCCCTCGCTACACCTCTGTATCCATACTGATTAATGATACATAAAACTTTAAAGGCGATTTTCCACGCCACGAAACAATTTTATTTAAAACAATTATTTACGTCAGCTTGCTATTCCTTCAATTTGAACTTTTGATCCTATGAAAAAAGATCGCAAATGTAGTTGAAATATAAACAAATATGTCTACCAATTTGTGCTGGAATAGGTATTACAGAACTCTTTCGAATTGATCCGAAAATTAAAGTAAAAAATCGTGTCTCGCACTAGAGTACCACGTTAATCGACATTTCAGCAAAAAAAGTGTCTAAGCGTTCAAAGAGAAGAAGTGTAAAAAAGAAACCTTGGTTCATAGAAAAGGATTCCTAAAAGAGGTTTCAGAGTCCTTATCTTTTTCATTACAAAGTACGTTTGTCAACGCGATCGTGATAGAGATTTAAACATCATCGATGAATGTTTTACACGTCTTCCTACCGACAACCAATCCTCACCGTCCCTTTGTTTTATTCATTGTACATACAGGGGCTGTAGCTCTTTGCCAGAAACGTTGAGCGCGTTCGCATAAGCAACATGGAAAGCTTTCGCTCCGTTTTTTCGAGCAAGAGCGTTATCGTGCATGCACGGGCATTAACATTCATGATACGTCGGCATACAAGAACACAAAATGTCCTTGTAATTTACAGGCACGCTTGCCACGCTCGATACACTCCAAGAATTTCAATCGTACGATCCATACGGGAAAATGCTGGCAGAAAGGATCGGAACTATAAAAGAACCGCGACGAAACGAAACAAGAGAGAATGTGCTTACGCGAGTTCGACGCATTCTTTGATAATCGATGATGGAGTTCCCACTGGTGATACAATCGGAACTTTACGCAATCCTGTTTGTTTTTTTTTTTTTTTGCGGTGCTTGTTTCGAATTAATAGTATCAACGTTTCCTACGGAAGGAGCGCATAACAAGCACGGCGTAATGGCTTCTCCGAAAGAGACTACAGGATTTTCTTTTCTTGATAAAACAAATGGCGTCGTACACAGGGTGTTCCACGTAACACTTTTCACGATTTTTCAAGTATATGCGGTAACCTGACAGGGAAATATTTAATACTTGGATGTTGTTTTTGTGAACACAATTTAACATCTCAAATTTATTTATTTAAATTCTCCTTCATTCATTGATGCGAAAATTTCCAGATGACATTCAGCAAAGTATTCGTTTCCAGCAAGACGGTTGTCCACCTCGTAATCCTCGGATTGTACGTAATTACCTAAACTTAAAATTTGGAGAACATTAGCTCAGCACTGGGCCCCTATCGCTCAGCCATCCACGATTCCCTTGATTTCTTGCTACTTGATTTTTTCTATAGGATCATTTATGGTCGATAGCTTGTGCAATTTCGATAAAAAAAACCAGGAACATTTAAAGCAGCGAATCCAAGAAGTTGCAAAGAAGTTTGTTAAGACAGTATCGTAAGGACAACCAATGCAAACTTCCTAAATTGTGCCTACAACAACACGGATTTCATTTCGAACATTTGATGTGAATTTTTCATTAAATTGCTCGCGTTCATTTAGCCAAGGTTCCTGAATTGATTGTAATTGATTGTATTACCACCCACACAAAGAGATCGTCATCTTTTGTAGAAATTTTCATTTTCTTACCTTCGAGGACATCCGAAGAGGTCATGGTCGTTGAATTCATCTTAAGACGAGAGGTAGAAAGAAAGGCACCTTTCCCTGATTTCTTTCCCGAAAAGAATGTAGTATGTATGTAAATTCGTGCGTATGTATGTAAATTAGTTTAACTATTTCAGGAGATGAAAATACTATTGCTGCTATTAACATAATTCCAGTTCGCAAGATAACCACATTTATATACATTGAGATTATTTTTGACATTTGACTACACGAATAGTGCAGTGGAAATCGTGGAACATATTCAAAGTGCGATAACTGCATAAAAATTATAATGTGTTATTCCGTAACATGATCAGATATGTATGAAAACAATCTAATTAATAATTGTTTGCTTTACAATCCTCCTAAACAGGACTTCCCTAAGTGGAAGTAATACCTTAATTAATACAGTCTATATAAAGAGCTTTCCTAAGGGGATTTTAAAATTATATCTTTCATTAATTTCAATTGATATGAAATACAACCTAGTTTTTTTTATTTTATGTGAAAATACAGATGATCAGTTGATCACGTTTGAAGTCTATTTACGCGTATCCGTAACGTGTCAGTTCCGTATCCGTAGCGTATCGATAACGTCACGGAGCGGTGTCGGACGTGTGTGAACATGCCCATTCAAAAACAACAGAAGAATACTTAAAATCACTGACACTGATGGAACATTACGGAACTGAACGGATACGGAACAGACACGTTACGGATATATGTAAATAGACCTTTAAACGTGAACGACGATGGCGTTCAAGTGTAAACCACAACTACGCTAACTCTCTAGTATTTTACTAAAAAAATAAATTCTAAAGCCTCTTTTAGAAAGTCCATCGCTTATCGAAAAGGTTCCGTTAACGTTTATCCTAAAATGCCATCGATAGTCCGAAGCCGATACGCGAGAAGAGTCTGAATATTAGAATAAAAATAGGAGATGATGTAACGAACGAATCAAATGAAAAAACCGGCGAACGATGGGCCATCCAGAATTAAAATCAGCCAGCAGGAAGCTCGAGAATACTCGCGAACCCGGACACGGGCCCATAAAAAAGGCGAACCAATTTGCTGGTTGAATTGGTGATAATCTGCAGCCTGCCGAACCCAGTGGCCGTTTAGAAGAGGACCGACGCATGCGTTCGTATCCTGGACAACGAACGTATCGGCGGGTCCGGCAAGTGGAGGGAGACCTCTGGCACGTGTGAAACAGCTGTAGATTTAATCAGTGTATGGAGCAGGTACGAGTCGTCGCATCAATCGGTAAGTCTCTCCTGTCCTACTCAAGGAACTCCTTCGTCGAGCATACCGGTCAAGTATATGTTCCGAAGTTCACCGCTAAGTTCCGAATAGCGGTGAAAAGTGATATTCGAAGTGAATTGTACGCAGTGACCAGCGGTGTGTCGATGGTTTCATTCTTTTTCGAACCCGAATTACCTTTCGCGGTACCAGCAACGAGTCCCTCGGAATCTCGTTCGAGTCGAAGGATGACGCGTCCTAAAGCAGAAGCAAATGTAAATCACGCGAATTGGTGACGTACGAGTAACTAACAGGACAATCACGTGCTCTAATCGGTCTCACGTGATCGGCCATCAGGTGACGCTAAACGACAGACTAAAGAATCATTCGCGAAATTTGCTAATTGTCTCGTAGTGGATTTGCTAATTGTCGGATTGTTTGACTGACAGTGAATCGAAAGGCCGCGCCGTGGTCGGTTAATGGGACCGCTCGCGCTGGTTGCGTAACACAGTGATCTGTCGATCGAACCTTAGGAGGAACTTCTTCCTGTTGTCGACGTCGGTGCGTCTTCTTCTGTAAATGTCACGTCGGTGTCGTTCCAGAACGCCGAATCGTCACGATGTACTAGAGAAGAGAATTCGAGGCTAACGGACATTTGGTTCGAACGAAGGAAGAAACATGACCGCGTTCAACTTTAAGAAACTACTCAAGAACAGAGTTCCTGTTCTAAAATGGCTACCCCTGTACAGAACAAACGACGCATTGGGTGACCTAGTTGCTGGTCTGACGGTGGGCCTGACCTTGATACCGCAGGTACTTTCCAAGGCACACAATTTTATTTGCCGCGTGATGTCGCGGTGGTATTTCGATAGAGATGTCAGAGTCGAGACGTTTATTCGAACCATTTAAAGGGGTAATGGTTCGATTATTCCAATGAATTAGGGGACACACTGTTCGGATAATCAATTTTAACGATACCTACGTTCAACGTATGTACATCTATCGTATACAGTACTGTGCACAGTGGATGTAGAAAGTATTCGTACACCGATCAATTTCCAAAAAAACTGTGTAAAGTTGTAATTTATTAACTTATTTTTTATAAACAATCACATTCTACTTATTCTCCGAAATCTCTAGAATAGATAGATTACAAAAAAAACAGTAGCTATTTATGTAAGTTGCGAAATTAACAAGAAAAAAAAACAGTTAATCGATAAAAATGTTGAAGCGATAAGTATTCGCGCAACTGTTTAAAAGTACTTTCCTGGAAATTTCATGTTTCCTAATTCGCACGAAGCAATAAACTAATGCGTTTACGTTACAAACTCTACTGTAAATGGTTCGTCATAAGAATCGTACACCTTTACCTACTTTTCGCATTTTTTTTGTTAATTTCGCAAATTATATTAACTAGTAAATGTTGTTTGGACTATATCTATCTTGGAGATTTCCGAGAATATGTAAAATATCATTGATTAGAAAAAAAGAAGTTAAGAAACTACAATGTCACGCAAAAGTTTTTTGGGAAATTGATCGGTGTACGAATACATTCTACACCCACTGTATATCGTTGAAACTAGATTTGGGAGGGTCAAGTAAATTCGTAAATATACAGTGTAAAAAAACTTTTGTGTGAAATTGTAGTTTCTTAACTTCTCTTTTTATAATCAATGATATTTTACATATTCTCGGAAGTCTGTAAGATAGATATAGTCCAAACAACATTTACTAGTTAATATAATTTGTGAAATTAACAAAAAATGCGAGAAGACACATTGGTTTATTGCTTCGTACGAGTTAGAAAACATCGAATTTCCAGTAAAGTACTTTTAAAAAAGGTTCTAATAAAGGAATGGAAAAAGATCCCACAGTTACAATAATTATAAAATCAAAAGGAAATCCCACGAAGGAAGTATTATATACTTATAAATTAATGTAAATTTCTTTTTTTTTTTTAATTAAATTTAAAAAATGGAACAGTTGCGCGAATACTTATTGCTTCAACATTTCTATCGATTAATTCTTTTTTTCTTGTTAATTAATTAATTTTTTTTGTAATCTATCTATTCTACAGATTTCCGAGAATATGTAGAATATCATTGTTCATAAAAAAATAAGTTAATAAATTACAATTTTACATAGTTATTTTGGAAAATGATCGATGTACGAATACTTTCTACACCCGCTGTAATTAGTTTTCTGTTGCAAACATTGTCACAGAACATTCACACAAATACGTTTTAAATAATTGAGTAATTTTAAAAAGTACGAAACGCATCGGAATGGTATTGTTTAAAGATTATTTATGGGAGAATATTAGTAAAGCAGAAAACTTTGGATGCAAAATTAGCATTTTTCATTGTTCTTATTACTTAACACTTCGGCTTCGGTTGACGCAGATATGCGTTATTGAGAGTGTCATATGAGCCGTTCTGTGCACAAATCGATTAACTCCATAAAACAAAAAATTGAGAAATGCGATGAAATATTCAAAGTTGCGACTATGCCAAGTGCTTTGACACTAGAATTTAAGATTTTTCAAAAAGTGGAGTTAATCGATCTTATTTATCGTAACATACAACAGATTTATGGATGTTTACATAAACATACTATAAATATAATAATACATCATAAATTGTTCACAAATGCGATAATTAATGTTTTTCGAATTTATATTTATACACGTTTCCAGTTTATTGTTTTGATTCGTCGCTATCGACCCTGAAATTACGTATACGCATTATGTGTATAACTGTGTGTACGTTAAAGCGATAAGGCACAATTTCAACGCTTGAATTTCGTTTTAGAACGTAGTCGAGAAGTATCGTAAAGTTGCTGTACACGTTGACAATCGTTCTCGTTAATACCGTGCAAAGAAAAATTACTAACTTTCAAAATATGTTGCTGAGAGAAGAATACCAAATTTTTATTTTGTATTAAAAAATAAGTAGAATCATTAATAATTGCATATGAAAAAGTGTAGTTTATTATGTGAGAAAGTATTTACCCCTTTTTTTCAAAATTCGTTTGAAAAATATTAATTATCGAAAGAGTTATAACGATTCTTTCCAACGTAACGTGACTGAAAGAAACGATGTAAAATCGCCCCGAAGTCGGTGTTGATTTTTCTCACCTATCCACTGACGTAATTGTCTTACCTTTTGAATTTATCGAATAATATAAATCATCGTCGAGCCGATAAGCGCGACAGTGTTGCTTTGACACAAAATACACAATGTATGACTTACGTGTACATTCACAATACTGCAGACCAAAGTATGACGTTAACATGCGTATGTCCACATTGTTTAAAATGTTAATGGGCTGCATACACCCATGACAAAAACGAATATCGTAAAGTTTGGAAATTTTGTATAGATGGAAACATATTCTATTAAAAAATCATTATATTCGCCATAAATTTTAAATCTTTATCTATTCAATAAAACTAAAAATGTTGCAATCAACCTTTACGATAACCAGAATATCTTCACTTCTTCGCATCTGAATAGAAGAAATATTTTCTTCAAACAGATGAACAAAAATAGTCTTTAACGTGACCGATTTTAATCATTTTTCTTATTATCTATCTTAACAATGATTCTTCCATTTCGATCCCGAGAAAAATTCCCGTCCCGACCGAGATCTCGCGCACCCCTACTATAAACTTGTACCTTGAGCAACTGCATCTCGTAGTTGGTAGTGAATGAGTTGAAATCATAAGTAATGTTTGATGTGGCGTGGCCAAATCATGAGAAATTGTTTTTACTTGTGGCAACTTTAATTGTAGGCGATCGCGTACGCCGGACTTGCTGGACTAACGCCTCAATATGGACTTTATAGTGCGTTCGCGGGCAGTTTCGTTTACATTGTTTTTGGAACATGCCGAGAAGTCAATATTGGCCCAACCGCATTGATCTCGCTGCTGACGTACACTTACGCAAGGTAAGAGATTCAACGCTCCTGGGAGCGAAGAACAAATATTATTAAGATGTCATCTAGCAGTGTTGAGAACAAATTAATTCGAATGAAAAAGATAACGACTTCATTTGACTACATTTTATATAGCGAATAATTTCTGTTAGTACCTACATAAGTACATAGATCCGTTCAAACCTTCGACAAGCAATGAAATGTCGACAATCGATTGTTTTCCTCGCACTTTACTAGTTGTTTCCAACTGTGCTGCTGTCATAGACGAAAAAAGAATTCCCCATTTCTTTGCTCAGTTTTATATTTATGTACAAAGCCAATTACTTTCTAGATATGAGAGATCTGATATATATATATATATATATATATATATGTGTGTGTGAGTGTGTGTAATATTATAAAGGAACCACGGGCGCAAAACAAAGGATAACGACTCGAAATTTGTTGAGGGTCCCTGGGGAACTTGTTGAAATAATCTGGAATTTTTTCTGAACGAATATAATTTCATTCGTTATTAATAAAATTCGTTATTTAAATTCTGTCACAAAGACCTCAGCGTTTCTAGACATCATGCCGCGAATTAGCGATCTTAATCACTTAATGCGATAACTGAATTCGGTCGTATCCATGATTACAAGCAATTGGGACGACGGCCAATGTAATTTAATTGAGGCTGAAAGGATGCTGTTATTCCTTAGCGCGATTACCGCGAGAACCGCGCTCTACCAATCCGCGCAGTTGTCAACTTGCCCCGAAACCATTTATTATCCTTTCTCACCAAAGTTCAAAGTTCTGAAACTCGAATTACCTCTTTTAACCTTCAACTGGCGCCGTGCGATTTGCAGCACCAACGAAACATCATCATTTCACACTTTTAATTTTTCCATTTATATATTATTTAACATTAAATAAACGCTAGGGTAAACTACCATATTTAATTTCTATGTTATAAATCAGATACGACAGCGGCCTCTCAGATCGCTCGTCAAGTTCGTCAGCTACGTTACGCAAAAACCACGTGACTGTTTAAACGTTAACACGTTGCCGGGCATATTGATCATAGGTGACTCGCAGTATAAACATACAACGTATGTTTACAATATTTACAGCTAGTAAAGTCTAATTACAGTAGAATGCTACAGTAGAGTAGAGACTAATTACAGTAATTGAAAGACAAAAGTGGCTAGATAAGGAAATTTTCTATAATAGAACAATAACTTTTTCTACATTAAATTAAAATTCGAGAGGGACATACTATGACAGACTAAAATATTAGCTCGAGGTCATATTTTCCGAAATTTTAAGGTCATCAATGTTATTTTTAAATGAAACAGGGAATTTTCAATATTGTAGTCTTGTAGCTGATAAAAAGACAAATTCAAACATGTATTTATAAATTTATAAATGTATAAAAATGTTTTGTCACTAGTAGAGAGTCTGGAGAGTAGGAGAGAGTCGTGAATCTAAACATCAGATGATCGTCGAAGGATATCTTTAGTTTTCGAACAATTTAAAATCGAAGTCGTTCATTTCGTTTCACTGTATCAGTATACTTTTTATCGATGTTTCGTAACGATGTATTCGATTGTGAAAAACAAACTCGGCCGCGAGGGCATAAGCTCGAGCCAGAACTGCCTAATAATTCGATAATTCGGTTAATAATTCAAAAATGAAGCCCTCACCGACATTTTTGCAAAAGAAATTATTGTTCGGAATCCTTTCAGCTACCCCCCATTTCTAGTCCTTACAGGAGTTCTAGGACACTCTGTATAATACATAGAGTGTCACGCCTAAACCAGGCCACCTGAATATCTCCTATTGCGATGATACGAAAAATATTTTACATGAAATTTGAATGATTTGAGCTGAACCAATTTTTTTTCCAAAGTCTCTTTTTTGGTAAAATTTCAAGCACACCAATGTTTTTTCGGGTACAAATGCATTCTTTTTGAGAAACTCACCTCTGGATGATAGCTAATGTGTTAGACAATGTAAATACCCTGTCTTATTAACTTCTATCGCCTGGATACATTCTCCAGAGGGATTCCAGAGTATGCAGTGCTCCTGTGCTTTTTGTCAGGATGCGTAACGATTATCCTAGGAATACTCCGGCTAGGATTCCTAGTCGAATTCGTGTCCATGCCAGTGGTATCCGGGTTCACGTCAGCGGCCAGTGTCATTATCGCCTGCAGTCAAATTAAAAGTCTGCTAGGTCTGAGGATCCACGGGGAAAGTTTCATCGAGATTTGGAAGGAGTTAGCCGTCAATATTGGCTGGACCAGGATCCCTGACCTGATTCTGTCTTGCGTCTGCATTCTAGTTCTTCTGATCCTGAAGGTAATCCACCGTAGACATCGATCGCGAGCAGAACTAATTCCTAACGAGAACTGACACGCTGGGGATACATAAGAAAACGTGGCGTAAAAAGAAATCGCGAACTTCTTCTATTTCCTTATTGTTTCAGAAACTGAAAGACGTCAAGGTCTCGAATAACATTTTAAAAAAATCTATCTGGTTCCTGGGAACCGGCAGGAACGCTCTCGTCGTGATTATATGCGCAGTAGTTTCGTACATCTATGAGAACCGAGGCGGGGCACCGTTCATCCTCACGGGGCACATAGACGCTGGGCTACCGTCCGTTGAGCCACCAACATTTTCCAAAACGGTTGGGAACAATACGGAAACTTTTCTCGACATGTGCAAGAACTTGGGTACCGGCATCGTGATCGTTCCCCTGATATCAATAATCGGGAACATCGCTATCGCCAAGGCGTTCTGTGAGTTTCAAATTAGCTCTGTAACACTTGGATGTTAGAAACGTCCTTCGTGAGAGAGTAATCAGGCATTTTGTTAAGCCGGAGGCCAATACCTCGACGCCACCCAAGAAATGCTGACTTTGGGTTTGTGCAACGTGGTTGGAGCCTTTTTTCATTCGATGCCAGTCACTGGCTCCTTTTCGAGAAGCGCTGTGAACAACGCGTCCGGCGTAAGGACGCCTTTAGGCGGTATTTACACAGGTAGACGAAACTTTCACGATACCAGGGAACAAAGATTACAGTAAATAAAAAAAAGTGTCTTTCTTTAAGTACTTTTATGTATTCGAGTGGTATATTAACCCTTTGTCGTCGTATTAAATTTAGACTGGTCCGAATTAATTTCCGTAGAACGAGCAGCGATACAAAAAGAAAAAATATACATTTCGAATTGAATAACCTCCTCCTTTTCGAAGTCGGTTAATTAATATGCAAAACTGTGGAAGATGAACAAGATTTATTAATTCTTTGTGAACTTTAGATATATGTTATATAGATGTATGTTATAGATTTAGATTTATGTTTTTATGTAAAAATTATATTTTATTATTCTCTATCGTGTGGTATCTTTCGGTAACTTTCTTTTTGCCATCTCGGAATATAATTTTTAAAATATCTTAAGGATATATGAGAGTACAATTGTGTACAATCGGAAGTAGACGTATATGAAATCTGAATTAATCGGATATCTTTGTAATTATGGCATTTAAACGAACAAATTTATAGCTATAAGCTTGTTTGTAATGTCAAGTTTCTAATTTAACAGGAATTTTTTTGTTTCTATTTAGTTTTAGAATGAAATTTTTAATATTTTTAATAATTAGTAAAAAGAACTTTTGGCATTGAAAAATTCTCGAGTTCAACTTCAAATAATAAAAATATCGCATACGGAATACGTGTTCTGGTGTCCTTTGACATACAAAAGCGCAAGTACTTGTTCCAAACTCAAAATGTTTAGATAAACAAACGAGCCTGCCAATACTTTCTTTAGCCATTAGCATACACCAAACAAAAATAATACGCAAAGTTAATCTTGGTCGCAGGTATTCTAGTCATTCTCTCTCTAAGTTTACTCACGCCGTATTTTTACTACATCCCGAGAGCTACGCTCAGTTCCGTGATAATTAACGCGGTGGTGTTCATGATCGAGGTCAAGATGATACGGCCCATCTGGAGATGTAGCAGTGAGTAAAATCGATCGAGCGAAATGGAATATTTAGCGATAGTTGAATTTATTAAATTTATTTTAATTTATAAAATATCATTCCAGAACGCGACCTGATACCAACGTTCGCGACATTCTTCGCGTGTTTGTTCGCTGGAGTCGAGTTGGGGATTTTAATAGGGGTGACGATTGATCTGGCTATATTAATTTATTTCAACGCCAGGCCGACAATATATATTGAATACACAAATGTAAATACATAACAATGATCGATGAATACTTTGAGATTGCAATGACTAAAAATATCCTGTTTCTTTTTACCATAGACTCCTACGTCAAGTTATACCCTCGTCCGGCCCAGTGCCGGGCTGCTGTTCCCAGCGGTGGATTACCTGAGGATATACTTGATAGAGCACTTGGATAACGCTAACCCTAAGCTGCTGAAAACCTTCAAGAACTCGAAAATCGTCGTTTTAGATTGCAAGCACATAGACAAAATTGATTTCACTGCGGCGCATGTACGTATAACACCGAAAATATCAAACTTCGAGTTTAGCGTAGATCCTACGTTTTCTCCCTCTTATTTCTCTTTAACTATTTATCACTGAAGTTGTACAGAGAAAAGAACATTTTACAACTTGAATTCAATTGTTTTTATATGTCTTAAAAAATATAACAATCGACTAATCGCTAAAGGATGTACGATCCAGATTTCGAACGCGTTTCGCCCTAATTGTTTCACTTGTGGCGTTTACAGGGGCTGAACACAGTGATCAGAGAATTCAGAGAAAAAAATCATTGCTTAATTATGCTCCGGCCGTCCAAAGAGGTGTTGCAAAGCGTACAGTCCCTCTCCGAGGAAACAATTATGGTGGCCACTAATGACGTCGAGCTCGTGGCTATTTTGAAAGAATTGAGTTCATTCAAACGAACTCCGACTGTCACTATGGAAATTATAAATTTGAAAAGTGTGAAAACAACCGACGGCACAAGGGATGAACTTACGAGCACGAAACTGTGACACAATTGATAAATTTAACGGAATTAGGAAATCAATCGAAGTTTGGAGAATATCGAAGAATAAGAAGTCCTGCAAATTCCTTTGCATTTTTGTTGTTGTTATCTTATTTCATTTTTTTTTTTCAGTACATATCGAAAATCGAATTATAGGACTATCAACGATATCGTATAAAATCGTAATGAACATTAACACCTATTTACGATGTGTGTATGAATTGAATGATAACTCGTACGTTTTGTAACTTTTTATAAAGATGTACCGAACTGACCAACAATGATGTAGTTCATAAGAAAATTACTTTATTCCTATTTCAAAGAGTCTATTGACGAGTGCATTTCTTATTACGAATGAAGGAATAATACTGCTGTTTATAAATGCGTATCAGAATATGTCGAGGAATATATATATATATATATAGTGTACATAACATCTACCAAGTACGGCAAGTTTACGTTTTATTTTGTAAACATTTGTAAGTCCTCGAAAAATAAACTATATGGTATTTCTTAACAATATAAGTAATACTTAAACAAAAATAAATCGTCACGCTTGAATACACGACCGTTATATATGTTTGGCCTCCAAATCAGTCGAGGAACGGAAAATAAAGAAAGAAAACGAAATTAAGAAAATCGTGTCTTGAATATACAGATTGCTTCAAATATTCTTGACAGCGTTGAAAAACTGTAACTTTCTTTAGCCGGTTTAATGGAATACAGTTTCAGTGCACAAATTTACTCCAAGATACAACTTGGTCAAGGAAACAAAATTGAAAAAATTGTTTTCAACCTTGTTGGCTAGGAAATTCTATACCATGAACCAGCCCAAGAAACTTCCAGATACTAAACATCGTTAAGAATTATTAAAACACTCTGTATATCGTCATGGAAAAGTAAATTCTCAAATTTTTGTCACTTATCAGAGTTCAAATCACAATCATAATATCCTTCCTTTTATTCTCCGTAGAAAAACACAAAAGTTTCCAAACACGAACTAAACACTAAATAGTCGTAATACTTTCGATCATAGGAACATAAAAAAGTATCGCAATATTGCCGTTTCACGACATCCCCGGAACCAGCGCTTGATTATTATTGATTATTATTATTAAAAGTACGCATAGAATCCAAGTAACGAGTAACACCGATTTCTAGCGAATGCATATATATATATATATAAATATCTGAGGAGAATCTATAAAATAGAGTTACTACTTTCACACTGTTACGATAGGAAAATGAGACGCGTTTTCGCGTAATACTTCCGATAAATGGCAGTTATTATACGATAAATTTCTTTTAAAGCTTTTCAACTTTGACAAACTATCTCTAAGGATGCGAAACACCTAGTGCGATGCACGTCAAATATATATCTAGTAGATCGATTAAAAAACTGACTTTTACGGATATACATACATATACATATAAAGGTAACAATGATAGAAACGGATGAGGAATCGTAAAGTGAACGTGCAACGATTTTTGTACTGCGTAATTGCAACGATCTACAGTCTGAAACAAGAAATACACAATTGTTGCTCGTTACTGTTTCTGTAGTATTTACTGTTCCATCGTTTTGCGTGTACCGCGGCTCACGGTTCCTCTTGATGTAAGGTCTTTCGGCGATGAGTGATGATAGATTGCGTTTTTGTAATACTGAGGGGCATAATGTTGCGAATTAACAGAATGCAAGTAAACCATAGACTTTGGATCTATGCGCCCAGACGAATTCTGAATGGAGTCGGTTTTTCGGGAATAATTAATTCCGTAGTACATGCAATCTCTCGGCGATACCATTGGCGGTATACACTCGGAATCGTTCCTCAATACGTCATCCTTCCTGTTGTTATACTCCTGGTTGTTTTGGAACGGTGAACAGCTCTCCGGCATTCTTTGGTAATTGGCCGCAGTTGCAGCGTACGGCCCATACTTCTGGTTCACTTGCATGTGCATGTTCGACGGCCCATTTCTCCCAGTGGAATCCATTGTGACCGCATACGAGAAGGGTACCATTACCTGACCATCTTGGGTACAATTCTGGTACTCGTTTGCCATAGGGCTTCGGTAACGATTGCTTCTCATGTGGAGGTCCATAACATTGTCTTTCAAATTGACGTTATTCGTTTTGCAGCCCTGTTGCATGTTCCCCATATAATTCTCGAGTTTTACGGGAACGGAAAAGTTCGGATTATTCTCTAACTGTTGCATCTGCTGGAACTGTTTGTACGGATTGTCCTGCGCAGATGTTACGATAGGGCAATTTATACAATCAGACAGCGTGTTCGATTGCAATCCTTGATTAGAGAACGTATTGCAGTTGGTGTACGGTGGATTTTGAAATAAAGGCGTCGAATACTGCAGCAGAGGATTCCAGCTTTGCATGCATACTGGCGGTACGTAAAGCAATGGATGGTGCAAGTAACCTGTTTGTAGAATGTTATTGTAATCTGTGCTGCATACGTGCCTGGAATTCTGAATTTGCATGTTCAGAGGATGTGCAGAATTCATTACGTTTCCGTAGAGCAACATATCCGGCGCTGGTAAATTCCACTGATTATGTTGACTGGTTACAGGGTGATTGTGAAAGCCTGGTGGCGGTAAAACCGAACTTTGAGTATTATGCATGATAATGTTGGAAGGTTCGCTTTGCATAATGTTTTGACTTTCCATGGCATAAGAAGTACTTGGAATCAATCCATTATGAGAGAAGATTGTACTGTCAGTCGTTTTTCTTGGTACTGTTTGCGCATTACTGTATTGATTTAAGTAAACGGTAGATACGTTTTGATAGGGTAAACTATTTCCTATTGAAATACTTGGGTTACAGTTACTGTGTGGCGATATATTCTGCGGAGATATATGTGACGTCTGCTCTGATTTTTGTTGGACTCCATCTAGCAGATATAAATCCTTTTCAGAATTCTGAATGTTGACAGACGTATTATTATATTGAGCATTATTGTTATGAAAATAACTCTTATTTTGTACGCTGCGATGATTTTCAATTTCTTGAGCATTGGTTACATTAAATGGATTTTGTAAGTCAGAGTAAAATGGATTTGTTGAAGCTGCATTTTGCTGAATGGAATTATCGGTATAAGATGTCGTAGAGTGAACTGCATTCATTTCTTGAACATTATTTGAAAATTTAACTGACTTCGTTTCTGAGTTATTAGCACTTGTGTTATTATTGCTATTATTATTACTAGCATCTTGTTCAGTCTTTACAAATTGTACTTCAGTTCCATTATAAGAAGCTTGTAAAATCTGTGATTCTTGTGACGTATGAGTAGATGTATTTATAGTAGTGGAATCTTTGGTACTGTTTGAACAAGAATTCAATGATTTCGGAGACTGTACATTATTTAAATTAGCTGAATCTGATGTATCAGTCTTGTTTACGTTACTAGCACCATTTCCCTTATTTGGATATATAGTTATTTTTGAACCTTCAGATTGAGAATACACTTTTGCGCCTACCGAGCATACGCGATTTATTTTACAATCCCTTGATGAATTGTTATCCACAACATTCTTTTTATGATCACCTGCTTTCTCCTTCCCATTTAAATCTTTGGGAAACGACTGTAAAATGCCCGAAGAACGTCTATAAACGTTAGATTCTTTTTTGAATTTTTGCATATATCCTTGGTCATCTCTTACATTTCTATCAGTAGTAGCCCTTGCATTAGACGAATTCTGATAATTTCTTTTATTTGGTAGAGATGATTTTACTAAATTTTGTTCGTTTGTACTGCATTCTGAAATATTAGCATTGTCGGAATTCTTTCCTGAAATACTTTGACTGGTTTGTGTATCATTTGCTTGCTTACTTATTACAACCTGTTGATTTTCACATTTTTTCTTTGATACATTCTCGGTTGAATTAAGCGTACTAATCTTATTATTAAAACCAGATGTGTTTTTAATGGAATTTTCCTCTTCAGGCTTAGTTGAATTTCTTAAATAACGTTGCTGTGAATTTATTAGTGATTTATTCCTAATATATTGAATGTTATATGATTGAGTGCGTATTAATTGAACTTTGTGACACTTCTTCGTCTCATTAATTTCATCACCTTTCTTATCAGGTTCATTTCTAGGTGATTTTAATTTCGTAGTAAGAAATTTATTTTTTTCATCTAATCCCTCCATGGAGGATTTGTTTTTACTACCATTATCGTTAAGCGTAGAAAAATGTTGTTTATAAAATTGTTGCTCCTTTGTTTGTGCCCCCTTTCCTACACTTAATTGTCTACTATATACGTTAACTTTACCACATTTATCGATAACTTTAGAAGTGACTCCCACCGATATTTTTTTTGAATCAGCGGCAGAGTTTGAAGTTTTATTATCTTCGCTGCATGAATTCATTGAATCATCTTTATCTTTGCTAACCTGTTTTAAAACATTGGAAGGTTCTTTCAAAGAACTTCCTACAAATAAAGAAACATTTTTGTATATCATTTTTATTTGACAATATTATAAGTAACTCTAAAAAATTCTCACCCATTTGTTTTTTGATCTTCTGATCGCTTAATTTTTTAGCACTAAATTTTGTAGTTGTCCTTTGCATATCTTTTTTTACTTCTGATGTTGGCTGAGTTTTAGATTTTGCATCATTGTTATTGTTGTCGTGACATTGTTTTGGGCTTACTTGACTACCTACATCGTTATCCAACTTAACTAAATCAGGACTATTATGATGGGCAGTACTCCTAACAATAATAGAAATAATACATATAGAAAATAGAAGATATCACATAATATTTCTTGTGACTAAAAATGAAATATTACCTACCATTCATTGTTAGGTTCGATATATGACATGTTAGGTTTACTTTCTTTGTCATTGAGCTTAAATTGTTCTAACTGAATTGTAACAATGTTCTCTGGTAAATTCATACTCGTTTTCTCTTGCTCATCTATCCTTTGCGTAACCATAGGCTGAGAAGTTGGAAACAATGCACTGGCCATGTTAATATCTTTATTCCAAGTACTCTCCGTACTATCGTTTTCAGAAAAACCAACTGGTAAAGTTGGGTGAAACATAATTTTACTTATAGTAGTATTACTGTCATCTATATTTTTGTCTATAATAAGATCATTTTTTTCTAAATCAAAACTGTTTGAAACACTGATAGTCGAAACAACTGTAATACTTTCCGTTGGTTCTTCATTTATTTTACTTTTGAGTGGATTATTGGCAAATACTTTTCCAACTGGAAGTGTTTTTATGCTATAATATAAAGACAAATACAAAATATTAGAAAATAATCTCAGAGATCTCTTGTTAATA